CTGATTACCCTGCTGACACGTCTGGTTACCCAGTTATAACCTCTGGTAACCCTTCCGGTACCTCTGGCTACCCTGGCAGAACCTCTGAATACTGATTTTTTTTTTGTCTCTCCTCAGTTTTATGCCCCCTGGTGTTCTTTTTGCAAACAATTGGACCCTGTCTGGCATGAGATTGGATCAGAACTCCGCAGTCTTGGTTCTCCGGTTCGTGTCGGCAAATCAGATGCTACAGCCAACCCTGGTCTGTACCTTCAAAATAAAACCATGCAAAACACGCTGGATGGGGTTGTGTTTGATTTTCTGTCTGTTTTTTGTCCCAGTTTTGGCCAAAGAGTTCAAAGTCCGAACTTATCCTGCCATTCTCATGTAAGTTCCCTCTCAGACATCACTGTGACATCATCCTTTCCATCAGCAGAAACCTTTGCTCTGTTTTGGTATCTTAATGATCTTATTTCACTTTGATGTTGGAGGTTTCCACGGGTCCCCCTTAAGTGTGGAACAGTTCTACAGCATTCCTTATTCCAAATGGATCCTTCTTGTGACAAATGGTGGTCTGCTTAATTTTGTAGTAAATGCTGGTCCAGTGATTGTATCTGAAGGACGCCCAGCAGAGAGGTTCTCACAGAAAGAAAATAACTGTCCAGCCAATTAGCACACAGAACCCATGAAGGTGGTAGCTTAACCTCACCTCAATTTAGTGGTCCGGTTTAGTCCTGAGAGTACTCCAGATCTGGTTTTATATGATACCCAGCCCCTTGATGGGATAACATCACCTCCCCCACCTTCTGTCTAGATCAGTAAATCTAGACTTAGACAGATATTATTTTGTCATTTTGTACAAGTGTAAACAAAAATAAACTTTGTTCTAGTTTCGTTCTTTTGTTCTCGATCAAATTTTGTTCTCTTTCATCTAGCCCTTTATCTAGAGAACCAACAGTCTTCCTTCCATCATGTAGCATAACCTTTTTATAGACTCCACTTCGCAATGAACAAGTAAAACACAAAGAGACAAAATAAAACAGAGAGGATTTCCTAAAACTGTGGAAGACAAAGAAAAACAACCAAAAGATGTTATTAGTCCTTTCTCATCAGTTGGGAGGTGTTCTTAGTCCAGGAGAGGTCAGAGGAATTGTGAACTAGGAGCTTTAAATGCTATCCACAGGGACCAATCCCTCCCGTCAGGACCAAACTCTTCCTCCTGTCAGGACCAATCCCTACCTCCCGTTAGGGGCTACTTTTCCCATTGAAGGGCTCCTGACCAGAGGAAAGTGAGTAGAGGAGGGTTCTGTGTTCCAGGACCTGGTGTTCAGATAAAGATTACTGTCATGTCTGATTGGAGACTCACCACAGTGGTTTCAATCACAAACAATATGGCTGTTAGTGGAAGTGGTGAATGAATGGCCTCTAGCAATGGGGGTGAATAAGGCAAAGCCAATCACACAGCCCTGTGGCGGGTCTGTCTTCAGGATCAGTGTGATTGGTGTCTGTCGGAAACAAAGTTTCTGAGCCGGTGGACAAATGAGTTCCTGAGAGCCACGTGAGGCAGGGTTGGTACCAGCATATCCTGGATCCATCCAGCATATCCTGGATAACCATGTTCACAGCTGAACTAAAGCATCTTGATAAATTAGTTGGGATGTTTAAGGAAGGTCAGGAGAGGGTGCAGTGCGACTCTTTGCCTTTGGGCAACCTGATGGCTTTTCAGATGTCTTTGATATACTTCAGGAGGATGCTCTCATGGCCCTTCTTCATAAGTTGAGTCAGAGTGGCCTGTGGATAATTACTGAGGCAGAAGATGATTCAACTGTTACACTAGGACCTCACTTCACAGTCCTGCCCCATAACTTAGCTGCTCATGCAGCAATAGGATTATTAATCCTCCACTCTGAGGATGATCCACGCCGTAAGGAGAGTTTGGTCCTGGCTAACCTGCTGGTGTTGTATTAGAGTCCCCTTGAGACAACTGGAGATACTTCTACCAAAGTTCTCCTCACTGCACTGCAGACTCACATGGTCTTCACACTGAGCAGCTCGGTTTTCTCTCCAGGTTAAAGAACAATGTAAAGTACAACTATCCAGGATCAAGAACCAAAGATGGAATCCTGGACTTTGCAGACCGGGTTTCAGGGTGAGTTTAATGAACATGAGATTGTTTGGATCAAACACCCACCACCATGCAATGATGTCACATCATGAGGATAATGATCTGTGATGTCATTTAGGCCACTGGTTCGTTCTCTAAGCAGCACACGCCTCTTTCAACATGCCGTCAGCCGCCACAAAGTCCTGGTTCTTTATGTGGGAGCAACGTCAGAGCTCAAGGTGTCCATTCACATAACACCCCTTCCACACACACACACATGCATGCATGTTGGGTCACACTATCCTAAACCTGACCCT